TTTGTATTATTTGTATTTATTTTAAAAGTATTTAAATTTAATTGTATATAATAAAAAATATTACACAATAACTTTATGAATTATTTTACAGTTTAAAAATAAGCGATATATGTATTGATTAGGATTTTGCCACGTAGTGGCAAGATTCTAATCAATTCATATGCGCTTATTGTAATCTGTTTATTAAATTACGTATAAAATTAAAATAAAATGATTTATAAATTTTTAGTTACGTTTATTAAATTACATATAAAATTAAACTTAAACGATTTCAAAAATTTTTAGTTACCGTTTATTAAATTACGTATAAAATTAAAATTAAACGATTTCAAAAATTTTTAATTACCGTTTATTAAATTACATATAAAATTAAACTTAAACGATTTCAAAAATTTCAGTTTAATCTTTTTTAATATTTTTTTAACGTCTTTGATGCGTCGCGTTGGCGAATCCTGGGGCATCACATGGGTTGAACCGCTAGTATTATATATATATTACAAAAATATTTAAAAATTAATTTTATAATTCTAACTAAAATTGACTTATTACAAATTTGAACATTCTTTTTCTGAATAACAAGATAAATTACATTTTCTGTTTAACTTTTACATGAACAATGTAAAGTATCACAAGTTGTTTTAGAATATTTACAAGTTACTTCAAAACTATTTTCAACAACTTGCAAATATATTTGTAATTCATTTTATATAGTAGATTGTAATCTTGTAGCTTCTCTAAGAGAAATTGATTTTCTTGATATTTCTTCTAATTCAGAAATATGAGTATTTAATATTTCTAAATGTCTAACTGAATAAGTAATATTTAATACGTTAAATTGACATCCTAATTGATACTTATCATTTCTACTAGAATTAAGTATTTTACAAGATAAATGAGTTCTATTAGTTTTTCCTCTATCTTCTTTTGGAATCTTTATTTTTACTAATTCTCCAATATTATATTTATTAATTTTAGAAGATCGTGTCATTATTTTTTTCATACTAGCGGTATAAACTTTGAGATTTTCTTTAGCATTTTTCGTACATAATTATGTGTAAAAAATTTTGTATTTGAAGATCCTGTATAATTTTCCTAATAATAATAAATTTATAGTCTCATTTTAATTATTTATCAAGAAATTATATATATATACATTAAATAAATTACCTCTAATTGTTCATTTAATTGTAATTCAATTTCTTTTTTCATTTTCTTATTATTTTTATCAGAATAAAGATTTAACCAATTAGTAAGTTTATGCTTATAAACATTTAATTCTTCAGTTGGATACATTTGAGGATTTTTCTTAATAAATTAATATCTTTTAAAGCTGAAAGAATTTCTTTTTTCATAATTAAAGCTTATATCCAAATAATCCTAAATATGATTTATTAATTTCTTCTCAAAATATAGTATTTACTTGTTCTTTATGGTAAAAAATATCAAAATTTTTACTTATAGGAATAAAATTTTTAAAATTTATTATAATTTACTTACTTTTTTATTTTTGATTATAATTGTATTATTATCACTATTTATTAATTTATCATTTTCTTCTATTAAATTAATATCAGTTACTTTTCCTTTTCCTTTTTTATTATTAATAATTGATATCTCCTATATTTATATTTAAAAAACTTAAATTTAAATGGTAATTTTAAATATTATATTTTAAATTTAATTACTTATGGGATAAAATTTATTTGATATATGCAATAAATTATCATCAATATCATTAATATCATCTATATTAACAATATCTTGATTCTAAAATAAATAACATTTTTTCAATTTAAATTAAAATATTTAATAGATAAAAATATTATAAATATATATTACATTATTATTTGATTTTTTAGGAGCATTTGGTTTCTAATAAATCAATTATTAATATTTTATTATTTAATTAATAAAGATATTTTTAAAATTGCAAATAACTGTAATATCACTAGAAGCTATAGTTGATGTAGTTATAACTGATGACTAAATAAATAAATATGTTTAATTTGTTAATTAACTAATAGTTAATAATTCATCAATTAATTATTAATTTAATATAAACCTAAATATTATATAAATCATTTATTTCTTGTTCAATTTCTATATCATTTAAAATATCATCTTTATTTAGTATATTATTATTTTTTTCAATAAAATATCAAGCCAAACAAAATTATTTTTAGGTTTTTGTATATAAATTAATTTATACAGAGTTTTTTCAGTAGATCTACAAGTAAAATTATACTCTATAAAGTTAATCTTAACGTTACTACCCATTCAATTGACTGATTTTGTTCTATTAAAGCATCTAATTTTTGTGCTAAAATACTATTTGCTCGTTTAACACTTCCTTGTGATTATGAATATCTAGATTTAATATTTATAATTTTAACATTTTGGCCATAATGACATAAGATTTAAAATTAATTAGTATATGTATTACTAATACCGCTATATCCAAGCATGAGAAATACAAAATTCTTTCCATAACTTTTCTTTAATTAAAATGAGTAATGCTGTTATTTCACTCTGATTTTTTTCCATAGTTTTTTTTGTACAATTATTAGGAATTTTACATATAATATAATCATTTTTAATAATTTTTAAAATAAAATTATTTTTAGCCCAAGAATACCATTTTGAATTGTATAAAGCATATTATTATTTTCTGGTAATAATGTTTTAATTATATTATTATATATTTCTTCATTAATAAATGCTTTTTCTTTAAATCTTGCATTAAAGATTCAGTAGATTGTTAAATTAATATATTAGAATCAGCTTTAGAAATAATTTTTTGTTCAAAAATATTTTTTTGATTTAAAATAATAGCAGAAGGTGATAAAGACATTTTATTTCTATTAAAAAAGATGAATGAAAGTAAATTCGATTTTATATAACTTTTAAATTTAATTATATACTAAATATAAACAAATAAGTTAAATAAGTTTATAATTTAATAACTACTATAAATGAAATATGAAAATTATAAGTCATAAATTTCAATAAATAAGCCAAAATTTAATAAAACTAATTAAAATTTGATTAAATTATGCCACAAAAATACAGTCAAACCTTGATATAGCGAACTCTTGATATAGTGAATTTTTAAATCAAATATATTAAAATTATTTTACTATAGTAAAGTAGCCAATTAAATTCTTTAAAAAATTCGTTATAAGCTTATAACGAAGTTGATATCCAGATATTAAAATTCGTTATATCAAGAGTTCACTGTAAATCATAAATTTGATAGAATAAATTCACAAAATTTAATAAATAAGCAAATAAGCCTAGAATTGAATAGAATAAATTAATTTCTATAACTTAAAATTACAAAATTTAATAAATAAGCCAAAATTCAATAATTTAATTAAAAATTTATTTAAAAGTCATAAAACTTAATAAATAAGCAAATAAGCTTAAAATTTAATAAAATAAATTAATTAAAAGTCTCAAAATTTAATTAAATAAGTTGCAAATAAATTAAATACCATAAGCATCCAAAAAAGCTTGAACTTGTGATTGGTTATATAAAAAATTATTATTTTGTATTATACTACTTACATTTCATTTTTTACTATATAATTTGAATACTTGGTTTTTTTAATCTTTTTTGTTAGGATATATAGTTATGCAAATATAGTATATACTATATAAATTGTGATACTTATAGGAAAACTTTACAATAATTAGTCAGAAATAATCAATTTAATTGATCATTATTTATATGCTTTAAAGTACTTTTTTAGAAAATAAGAGTTGTAAATAAAAAAATACCATCTAGATTTTTCGGAAAGTTAACTAACTGCTTGCAAAAGTAATCTAAAATAACTTTTTTTTAAAAAGTTTACTTAGATAATATATTTGCTATAATAACTAAATTAATGAGACCTTATATTATTAAAGTTTACACTAAATCTTTTAATATTTGGAAAAAAGTTACAACAGCTGTGTTTAAAAGAGCAAAAGAATATGAAACACTTCCTAAATATATTAAGAAAAATAAAACTATATGACTTAACTATTATAATGTAATGCAAATTAATAAATCCTTCATATTTATACAACACATTTTAGAACAATATTAGGAAGAAAAAAAGGAAATGGAAGAAAAAATTACTAATAAATAAAAAGAATCTTCTTTTTCAGGTAAGTTGAAATAATTACAAAGGTTCTTTATGATAGAGAATTTGTTAAAAAACAGCAATTATTATACAATTTTTATTTAATATTTTATATTTTTAACACTAATAATAAAAAACAATTTGCTATTTTTAAAATATGAATGATATTTTTATTAAAATGCATTTATTAATTACAAATTTTTCTCTAAAGTATTTTAGTTCTTTTTAATAGTTAATTAATCACTAATGCTACATTTGTTTGCTTTGCTACACTAACCCACTCATGATGTAGCACAATACAAATTTCCAACTGTCAAGGCTATTTCAGGTTCCTGTAATCCAAATTCTTTAAACCTTGAATTATTTTGAAGCTCTTAATATATTGTATCTGATCGAACTAGTTTTGTTTTTCTATGACTTCTGGATCATATTTCATAGATGATTGAATTTTCAATACTTGTAAAATGCTAATAATACATTAGGGAACTTACTAGGTATCTTACATAACAACCTATCAATTTCTCACTTCTATTAGATTTTCAGAATCACAAACTAGTATTGTGTAGGTTTCCATTTCTCATGCTACTTTGGCAATATGACCGTTTCAAGATTCTTTCGTGATTATGTTCAAAAAAAAGTGACTTTATAATTTTCTGAATAACTACACATCTAGTGATCAGATTTTCATGAATTTTGGCTTGATGGAAGTTAAGAAACTGCTGAATCTGGTCATTTTATTATCATAAATGTTGGGCTGGTAGTTATCAAGTTATTTGTGTTCTAAGTTCATTATGATAAGTAAGACTTTTTTTCTCATTTTCCAGTCAGAAATTTTACCAGATATGGAATGTTTAAATAAAATAATAATCTATAAATGATTTACATTCTAGAAATTTAAAAATTTGCTGATCATTCTAAAATTAGAAATGATCAATTATATATTAAATATATATTTTTAAGAAAAATTTAACTAGCATGTAAAATAAATTAATGTAACTTGATAATAATTTCAAGAACAATAAACCAGAATTTTTTAAAAAAGCAGGTTTAGGTTATTTTTTTTATATCTTAAGTAAAGAATCTCATTAACTCAAAATAAAAAGAAATTTGCATTTTATAGAATTTGAATTGAAAATCAGTTGACCTGAAAGAGTTAGGTTTTGAAGATATTCTAAGTTATATAGATGAATTTTAAAATCTGCAATGAGTTTTTAAATTGGTTTTATTAAATAGCAAAAATGAAATTATTACATTCCAACAAAGGAAATCTGACTTATTATGATGAAACTTTGAACGCAAATAACATGAGAATTACCAGCCTAATCATTTTAAGCTTTAATGATTAGATTTACAGGTTCTATAATTTTTGAAAACTAAAATTTAAGGATATTTGATCAGTAGAAGCGAAATTATTCATGAAATTATAAAGGCAATTATTTTTAAAAAAATCATCAGAAGATCTTGAACAGAGCTTAATACCAAAAATGAAGCAAAGAAAGTTAAATAAAATCTAATAAGAAAGAATACAAATTTCAGGTTTTATAAACCTAAAAGAAATAAGAAATTAGTATGATCATATGTAAGAAAACATAGTATCCATGGACTCTCAAAATCAATATTATGATGCTACTATTACATCATAACTCTGATCACTGTTATAAGGTAACTTAGAGGATGTAGAAATACAAAACTAAGCAACCAGATTCAGCTTATTATAAGCTTTAAAATAAGTTAAATTTGATAGAAATTAGATCACAGGAACGGAGGTTAGCCTTGAGAGTAGGATAATTATTATATCATATCATCATATGAGATTACTTCATAAAATACTTTTAAATTATTATATAAAAGGTTTTACTAGTATTAACTAATGCTGATATATGATAAATTCTTAGCAATTATTTGATAATAGTGTCTTTTACAAATTGAATTAGATTTAAAAAAAAAGTAAAGTTTATAATAAAGTGTAAATTACTTAGCTATTATTTAGTTATTAGCATACCATTATACTTGTAATTTTTAATATAATTATCAACTAAATCCATAAAAATGCTTTTGCTTTTAGTCTTTAGTTAAAAAAAAAGATTTATTTGAAATAATAGATTAGTTAAATAAATCCTATTTTTTAGACTTATAAAATTATTATATATGAAAAAATATAATTTTAAATTGATTTAAGAAAAACTGCTTTATAAAGTTTTAGGGATTCTAATGGATTCTGAAACTATATACTTGAAAATATATATTTTAACATTTAATTTTATTAAAAAAAAATCTATCAGATTAATAAATTAAGGTTTGCTATCTCCTACAATGCCGAATATATAAGAGGAATCTATACTACTTTCTCATATTTAGATTGTCAATTATAATTTTGGAATAGTAACCTTATAATCAAAGATCATATATTTTTTTTGATAATAAAAGATTTTGTTTGCAAATCATGTCTTTTCATGAAAATTTTAATCAGCATTTTTGGCCAAAAATAGTAAAGTTTTTTATGACTGCGATGCTTGTATTACATACTACATGTGACCATTAAAAAATAATAATACTTGAGGTTAATTAATTAATAAACGCCAAATTTCTTTTTTTATTCAAAAATAATCAATATTCATGTAAATTTTATATATTAATAAATATAACCTCTTTTTGAAATTTTTTTTTCAATGGTATTTTTTTTTAAAAAAAAAATATTAAAATGTAAAAATTTAAATATTTTGAAAATTAAGTAAGTAAATTTTCTTATATTTTTTATTTAATAAATAATTATTAATTTATTATAAATATTTTTTAAAAGAAAATTAGTTAAAAATAAAAAATGAATTATTAAAATATTAGCAATATTGTGATATGCCTTACTTGTTATAAAAATATGGCTATTTATTTAATAAATATATATAATTTTATTATTACTTTTGTTAATTTTTTTAAAATAGAAAATACATAATTAACATCAGTTGGATATGCCTATTCTGAAGCAAGGATTTATTTATTTCTATAATTTATTTTATATTTGATTTTATATTTAAAAATTATTTATTTTAATTATTTATTTTATTTAAATTATGTATTTTAAAAAAAAATTTAAAATTATGCATTTAAATTAAATTTTATTTTTTAAAATAATTATGTTATTATATTTAAAACATTATGTTTTTAAAAATAGATTATATAAGAATTTCTTTTTTGATTCAATTTTAAAAATTATGTAAAATTTAAAATTGTATTTGCAATATATCTTAAAATAATTAAAATAAAATTCTTGAGATAATACAATTATAAAAATAGTTATAATAATATAACTATTAAACCAATTATAATGAAAATTTATATGCACCTTTTCCAAACCCGCTGAATAACTTTACTTATGATCTTAAAGTCGATTACCTTTGACCAATATGTTTAAATTGTTCTTTGAAGTCACTAAACAAATAAAAAAATAAAAATAATTCATGAGTTAATACAATTATGAAAAATGTTCATAACTCTTTATAACCATTAATCCAATCAAAATAAAAATTTATATTCACTTATTTTCAAATCTGTTAAACAACTTTACTTAGTCTTGCAAAGTAAAATCCTTTGACCAATATGTTAAACAGATAAAAATAATAAAAAACATTTTGTGAGAATGAAAAATAATCATAACTATATAACTATTAAACCAATTATAATAAAAATTTATATACAACTATTTTTGAAATCACTGAACAACTTTACTTAGGATTATAAAGTTGATTAATCTTGATCAAAGTTTTCAAATCAACTTTGAAATAATTGAATGAATAAAAAAAAATTACAAAAAATTTGCTACAAAAAATGGTTTAAATTTAAAATTTACTTTTTTATATAAATAAATTTATTAGAATTTAAAATGTAAGGTGAAATTAAATATGTAAAAAGAAAATTTTTTAATTTTTTATTGGTCTTTTAAATTCATGTAAAAGAATTTGTTAACAATTAATTGATTAAAAAATTTGGGTTAAAATTAATTTTATATGTTATTTGAAGTTGGAATTCAGATAGCATAAAAAGTATCTGAAGATAGAATTCAAATAGCATAAAAAGTATCTGAAATTAGAATTCCAATTTCAGTTAACTGATTTTTGGATCTCAATTTCAGACGTTCGAAAAGTATCTGAATTCCAACTTCAGATAAAAATCAATTTCAGTTATAACATATTCTTATAGATTTTATTCAAATATTTAATTAAAATTTTAAAGAAAATATCAAATGTATTTATTATAACTTAAATAATTTATCAATTAAAATAAGATAAATAATGTTATTTATTATTATTTTATTTTAATTTAATTTTTTAAATAATTAATTAATAATAATTTATATAATAGTTTTTTGGTTTTATATTTGATAATGTTACTAAAGTCTTTAATTTATTGAATTTTTAAATATTTAGATAAAAAATAATTTAGTTTTATTTAGTCAAGTTGATAATTATTTCAGATATTTTGCTTATATTATAAATTTAAGTATTTAAGAATCGTTAAATAATAAATTATATTAATATAAATTAATTTTATTTTTTAATTATTTTAAACTTTTAAATTTATTTATTAACATTAATTTAATTAAAAGTACTTGTAAAAAAATCTATTTTTCTTTTAAAATTATTAGATACTTTGCAATAAAAAAGTACAAAACTTTAAAAAAAATTAAATTTTTACTTTATAAGCTAAATATAATTTTTTTAGTAAAATAAGTTAAGATTTAACTTATTCAAAAATTACTTTTTAGAGTTTTTTATTTTTCTATTACAAAGTTTTATATATTGAATTCTATTTAGTAGAAATATCTTCAATTTAATTATTTTTATATGCATTATATTAAAAATTGTAAATATAATTATAATGATTTTTTATTAAAATTAATTTTATAATTAAATATTTTGACTCTTAATTATGCTATATTTTCTGATTGAGACTTTAGAAACAATTTAGTTATAAATAATTAATAGAATAAATTAGAAAAATAAAAATATTTTTGAAATATTTAAAGAAATAACAATTTTTATTGTAACTATATTGATTTTAGATTAAATTTTTAGATTTTTTAATTTTTTTAAAATTTTATAATATAAATTACTAATTCGACTATAGATAATTCTAAAAAAAAAAAATCAAATATGTTAAGAATATTTAATCAATATCATATAATATATAAAAATGAATTGAATAAATATATTAATTCCTCTATTTCAAATAATATATAAATTCACTTTAATAGTAAAAAAATTAATAAAATACAATTATAAATCTTATTAAAAATACCATTTATAAGTATTCTATCTGAAATCATTTTTGAATAAATAAAAGTTTAATTATAAATAAAATAAATTGGTGTGAAAAACTATTAGAGTATTAATGTGCTTAAAATAATGATAACAAATATTTTTAAAAATCAATTTTTTTATTTTATATAAATACTGTATATAAATATTACTTAAAACTAATATTCTTTAATATAATTTTAAGAAGAAAAAAATTAAAAAATAAAACAAAAATTTAAACCTGTTCTTGCTAAAGTTATGTTGTAGCCCAAACGTCACCTTGTCCCAAGTTAAACTTGGGATATACCAAATCAGAATTCCTATTTCAGACTTCTCAAACTCCAATTTCTGATTTGGGATGATCATGTCCCAAACTTGATCATGTTTCAAATTCAACTTGGAATATCCCAAATCGGACCTGGGACATAGTCAAGTTTGGTGTCCGATACCCCAAACTTGACCGTGTTCCAAACTAACCCAGTTAGTTTGGTTTATGGTCAAGTTTGAAACATATTATATCAAACACAACCGTATCCCAAATTGACCTAGGTAGATTTGGAACATGGTCAGATTTGAAGAATCGAATGTCCCAAACTTGACCATATCTCAAATTGACCTAGGTAGATTTGGAACATGGTCAGGTTTGGAGAATCAAATGTCCCAAACTTGACCATATTCCAAATTGACCTAAGTTAATTTAAAATATAGTCATGTTTAAAGAATCAAATGTCCCAAACTTGATTATGTTCCAATTGATACTGCAGTAATGGCGGCTTTAAAATTTTCTTTTTTTTTTTTGAATTTTTTTGAATTTTTTTTTTTTAAAATTTTTTATTTTTTTTATTTTAATTTTTTTTTTTAAAATTTTTATTAGAACGGACTACTTTTTCGGATATCTTCTTGAAGGTAAATTTTGGGGTGGGTGAATTTCTCTAAGAATGTTTCTAACATTCTTCTTTTTTCTTTTGTAGGAGCTTCTTTGAAACAATTGAACTCCCGGTCTTGGAAATGGAACTGGTTTTTTGTTTATTATTATAAAAAAAGTTAGGGAAATTGAAAAAAAAAGATCTGCGGATAAAGCGCAGTCCTACAGTCCTATGATTAATTAGTCCTATGAATGTTAATTTTATAAAAAAAAATATCGTCGGATGTTAATTTTATAGAAATTTAACGTCACAACAGCATAAATCATTTATTCAATCTTATTACATAGCATACCATTATCAACTTAATATTCGAATTAACATTTCTGGTGTTAATTTCGATTTCTTAATACTGGAGATGTTCGTTTTGTAAAATTAATGTCATCAGACATTTAATTCTATAAATTAATATTATTTGGGTATTACAATGGAATTAAAAGGAATTAACACAAAAAAACAGAATAGATCTGCAAATTTTCAAATGAAGTTTAACTGCAAAAAAAATTCTAAATTAAGATTTCAGATAAATAAACCGCCAATATGCATAATTTTAATTTGACTTTTCCTTTTTTAGTTATATTTTTGTTGATAATACAAGTTATAGCTTATATAGGAAATTTATCATTTTTTTTTACATTTTTTTTTTCGAATTTTTTTTTACGAATTTTTTTTTCGATATAGTTCGAATCAACTGATATGTATATTTATTTGCTTTGGAGGGAATGAGTTATTTCTATTACATTGTAGAATATATGTTGCCAGGTCTTAGTATCAAGCGGTCGGGCGAGCGAAAAAAAGTTTGTATATGCATTATCCCCAACGCCTTTGTAAATGTCGAGATCTTCAATGCACATTCCGCATGTCCTTATTCTCTAACACAAAGTTTTGGCGTAAAGACATTGCATATTCTTCCCTCAATATGAATGCGAGTTCAGAGATGTGAATGGGAATTGCGAAACATTTAAAAGGGTAGTATGGTGAAAAGTTTATAAAATTTACATTATTTTTCTTGGCAAACTTTACACTAACATCTATTAACTTTTTTATTCTATCAAAAAATGGAAGAATTTCTCTTAAAAAGAGAGCCCCTTGATATTGTTAGAATTCCTACGGCATTGTATATACGAGTGGAGCAAGAAGAATGGACTGGTATTCTCGAAAAGGAGGTAGAGAATTTTGCGAATGTCTTGAAGAAAGTTTTGGAACAAGTCCCTTCAGATGATGTTGAGCGAAAAAAGAAACTTCAAAACTTTGGTACTGGGAAAAAATTGGCGAAACGGGTAAGGCGATAAACTATTTTTCATGATGAATATGTAGATATGATGTATTTTTTTTTTAGGTTTTCTCGCATATATATATATTAGTGAATGCGCTGTGTCTGTCGTGATGCTATCACTTCTGCATGGCAGTAACTAATTTTACATATATGCCCAGCGAGCGTGCTTTTTGACTGACTTACTGCTAGCATTTTGATATTTTTATGAAAATGAAAACCTAATCTGATCTCGCGTAGGAATATTCAATTTAATTCATCAAAATAACATTAACCTTAAGTTAAGTTAACTATATTTAGGTAACAACTGCATTCGAAGATTTATGCTCTCTTATAGGAATGAAAGCTCTGGTGATTGATGCTGAAACATGGTCTGATGATGCGAATGCAAATTTAGAGCTTTTGATACGTGATGTTAATCAATTCAAAAGTAAAAGTTCCGGTTATGAAAAAACTATGTGGGAAAGGATTGGAACGGAATTAGAGAAAGTAAATGTCGAGAGCCTTGGATTTGATCACCCAATATACTCCAGAGTACTTGATATTAAATCAGAACCTTTCACAGAGATGCCTGGATCACTTTGCGATGTTTTTAAGGAACCTTTCGAGAAATATAAGTTAAATTATAATGGTACGATAATGGATACTTGTAAAGAGTTTATCCATAATAAGGAGTCGAAGATAAATTTGGATGAAGATTTGCATGATGTCGAATTAGGAAAATGGCTAGATAGTCCCGAAAAGCTTCAAGAAATGACGGGACGAATACTAGAATCTTTGTAAGTTTATTTTTTTTTTTGAGGTTTCGTCTAATATACTACTTCTCATGAATAATGTGAATTGGTGGGATATTTTATAGGAATAAAGTTTGAAAATCGCCTAAGTATGACGCCTATACAAAGAAAGGAAAACCTGTTAATGAAGGATCATATGTTTGCGAAGTACTTGCGTCACTAATAAACATAGTGATGAGTGATTTACCTGGAAATCCTATTGTATGGGATATATGGTAAGCTTGCCGAAGGCGCTATGTATGACAATACCTATTTTCTATTACATTATTCACTCATTACATAATTAATATAATTTTTCAAATAGGGGCGAAAAGGGGAGTTCAGATAGTACTATAAGAAAAGGATCTCGCAAATATGCACGAAAACCAGATTATATGACTGTAATGCAGTTAGGAAAAGGTGTAGAACTTGAAATAGTATACCTCGAAACTGGTAGACCAAATTCTAGTCAAGACAAGCGCCAGCGAGATCATAAAAAATTAGTACGATTTTCCAAAGATTCTATTGATACTACTAGAATTATATCGAAGCTTAAAAGGATATTTAATAAATCATTAAAGAGACAGGTGTTATCTATATTTGCCATCAACATCGCGGGCGATGTTATAGAACTTTATGCTATGCAAAAAGAATCGGGTATCTACAAGTATTGTCTAATAGAGAAGGCAACAATTCTATTACACAAAACTTCACCAAGCGCTGTTTATCCGCTTATACACGTTTTAATAACTTTAAGAACAGCTGCCACATGTACAATTCATAAAATATTATATGATTCTGATTTTGGAGATAGTGAGCACAGTTCTGGCGAAATGGCTATAACTGTTTTGACCCCTAAAAATTCAGAGTAGTATTTGATTTCATGCATGTATTTTTTATTAGAGTGTATTAATAAAAATTCTTGGCAATTTTTATGGGACGGATCATCTCGCAAATTACATCATGTGTTTTTTTTCTTTAGTAAAACCGTTAACTTGGTTAATGATCAGCCGAAATAACCTAAATATTTTGCCGGGCAAAAGTAACACGCACGTGATTTTTTTTCTTGGTAAAAACCTGTTAACAAAGTTAACAGGTTGACGGATTTTTTATTCCGTTAGGCGGGGGATAGTATTACGCAATTTTGCAGTATTGACTCGGCATTGACTTGGTATTTTTCCAGATTTACTAGTAAAATAACGCTGTATAGACTTTTAGGATCTAGTATGACGTATTTTTAAGATTGTGAATAAAAAAATAGTAACTAGAGTTTTGAATCAGATATATTTATTAAATCCGGATTAGATACGAATAAAATGAATACTTTCGTTCTATCCAGATTTAATAAATCCGGTTTATTCGTTACATTTGATTTATTATATACGGTTCCTTTGTTTCATCCGGATTTATTATATCCAATTTATTCGTTTCATCTGGATTTATTAAATCCAGTTTATTCTGATCATCCGAAAAATTTATAAGGAAACTTTTATTTTTTTTTAAAATGAATTTACTAATAACCTTTTTAGGAATAAAATTAGAAATGTCACAAAACTTGCATTATTGATCAACAGTTTCTTAAAAAGTTGCTAAACCTTTTGTGTGCAATCAATTAGATGTTACATAAACTTGCATTTCAATC